GTCTTGCTGAATCTACCATACAGCATATCTTGTAACTCTGTCCCCTTATCTCCACTCCCATGGCCACCTCCTTCATTCTAGTTCTCATTACCTTTCATCTGGACCATTGTAATAGTTTCTTAATTAGTCTCTCTGAGCCCAGTCTTTTCTCTCTCCAATCAAGACATCTTCCCAATAACACATCCTTCAAAATACTTTTCCTAGGGTACAAGTCTGACCATGTTATTCTTTTGCTAAAAATTCTCCGGCGGCTCTCTGTTACTTCCAGGAGAAAACAAAAACTTGACTTTGAAAGCACTTTTGCTCTACCCTACCTTCCAGACTTCATGACCTCTGTGCCCTAGCCAAAGAGGTCTATCGGATCCTCCATAAACTCAGTAGTTCACTTCCCATTTTTGCATAGGCTTTCTCACAAGCCTGGTGTGCACTCCCTCCTTACCTCCTTTTAAGTGCCTTACCTTCCTTTGAGATTCAGCTCGTGTGCCCACCTACCACAAGAAATCTTTCCTAATCCACCTAGTCCCTAGTGTTCTGTCTCATCTCCAATTATTTTGTGTTTCCTTATCTGTGCACGTACTGTAATCCTCTAGTGGGAAGTGAGTTCCTTAAGGGAAGGGACCGTTTGTTGTTGGGGATTTGGTTTGGTTTTGTATCCACAGCACCAAGGACAGTGCTTTGCATGTATTAGGGGTTTAATAAATGCCTGTTGAACTGAACTGAAGAGTTACAAATACATTAGAGCTATCCAGAAAATTAAAGCTGCCCAGCTGAGTCCTCTGTGGCAGCCAAGTGAGCCAGTATCAATGAGGACCCCTGTGACTCAGGGCTGCCAAGGCTGTAACAGTAACCAAGAGCATGTACTGAACTCTCCTTGCTGTTCTCAGAGTAGAGCAGCTGTTTTTATAGCAAGAAATCAAAGTGATGTCCTTTTGATAGAGCACAAACTTTACTGGCTAAAATCAAACACTCACTTCAAAGCTTTTTTTTTTTTTGGTCTTCTAAAAAGCAGTTTGTGTACTTATTTGTACTACATGCCTCAGGCATTCTCAAACTACCGTATCTTTGAAAGAGGATTCCTGTTTGGCAATCACTCCAATGTCCTTAACTAAGTGGGTTTGACCTTGTCTGAACTGTAAAAAACACAACTGTATTCTTTTAGAGTGACAGTGAGATGGAGTGGAAAGAATCTTGGATTCGGAGTCAGAATATCTGGATTCATGTTCTGGCTCTCCCAAAGAACTCACTCAGTGACCTTGGGCAAGTTACTTGCTCTGCTCTTGGCCCATTAGAATGCTTCCCTATTAGACTGTAAACTCCATGAATGCAGACACTATCTTTACTTTTGTATCTGTGCTTAATTAACCTTCCTTCTATTCTTTTTTCTTCCTTCCTTTCTTCCTTCACTTTTCTCCCTTCCTTCTTTTCCATTCCTTCCTTTTCCCACCCTTTCTTCTTTCCTTTCTCTTACTTCTTTCCTTCCTTCCTTCTTTTTTCTTCCTTTCTTCCTCTCCATTCCTTCCTTTTTCCTTCCTTCCTTTTCTTTTTTCTTCCATTTATCCTATGGGCCAAGTAATTTGTATAGAAGTGTAGGCATAGTTGCAATGATTCTTTTAATAGCAAATGGAAATATTTTAAAAACATTTTGAGCTAGTTACAGACACTGAAGCATACTGTGAGGAGAGGGCACCCTGCCACCTCACCCACTGGCTGTGAAAAAATAAACCATCTTCACAAAGCAGGGTGTCTATCCCACCACCCCCACACCCCAAAGCTACCTCTCCAGCAGAATCTCTCGTGTTCAGATGTTGATGCAACATCAAATTCTACTTCCTTTCTCTAGAGAAGCATCAGTGGCCTAATGGAAACAGCTCTTCTTAGATTTAGAAAAGACCTGGATTAGAATCCTGCTTCCGACATTAGCTAGCTCTATGATTGTGGGCAAATCACTTAAATAGCTTTAAGACTCAGTTTTCTCATCTGAGAAATGGAGATGGTAATACTTATTTTGAGTTATTATGGGGATCAAATGTTTGTAAGACATTTTGCAGACCTTAAGGTGCTAGATCTTTTTGTCTGTAATTGTTCCAAAGGAGAGTTCCTTTACTAACCACACTAACACTTCAAAGCACAATTTAATTTTTCTCATCCACTTTTTGCCACTTAGTTCTTAACATTTAACACATTTAATAACAATTCAAGGCAAACATAACAATTTCATCATTTAAGCTTTTCTCAGAATCACATTTCCAATTAATGCTTAGTTCCAAGTCATTTTCTGGCATGCTGATACCATGTCTTTTTCTCATATTCCCTATTTCTATCTTGTAGATTCTCTTACAGCCTGTCAAGCTAGAGAATTGACCACAGAAGGACATTTAACTAGGTCTAGTAAAACCTCCACAATGGATGAGAGACAAGTTTATTTATAGGAGGGCACTTGTCTAGGGAGCCTTTTCAGTGAAAAGCCTCTTTGCAGGCTATGGCCTCTATAGAAGTGAAGAGCAGAATCTGTCTTTCCACCTTATGAACAATCCTGAGATCAGTGTTAATTCAGTCTATTTTAGTGAGTAAAGTTACATTGGATGAAGAAAATATTCAGTAAGCTGTATTGTGTAACTGTTAGAATGAAACTCTGCCACCAAAAAAAAAAAATACAGTGGCTATCAAAAGAAAAGGGGAAATGACTAAAAATCCCCGTGTTTGGTCTGATGTTAAAGATGAGACATTTTTACATTGCCTCAGTCTCTGTTTTTCCAGAATCTAACCATGACTCAACATTATACTCATTGTGCTTCCCTGGCACAGGCAACCAATGCCTTTAAAAAATAAAAAAAAACCCAACCATATCAGGCTGAGATTGTTTCTTCTTCCACTTTTTTTTGATACCTGCCTTTTTTTGGTGATTTCAACAGTAGGATGCTGCATTTTTTTTTATCCTTCTCATAGATGCCAAGGTGAGGTACTATCCTTTGTCCTTGAGACAGAAGAAGAATAGCACAATGGACGAATGTTCAAGTTGGCATCGGGAAGCCCTGGGTTCCTTAAGAGCAAAGAGTGTTTTCTTTTATTTTCTTTGTATTCCCATAGTTCAGCACAGTGACCGGTACTTAGTAGGAACTTAATAAATGTTTGTTGACTGACTGCCTGGGTTCAAATCCTGCCTCAGACACCACCCATATAAGCCTAGATAAATTCCTTAACCTCTGTCAGGCTATTTTCTCATCTGTAAAATGAGGATAATAGTAGCACCTACCTCATGGGATTATTTATAGGATTTAGTGCTGGAGCCATCTAGTTCAATCTCCTCATTTACAGATAGAGAGGTGATGTGACTTTCCCATGGCCATGGATTCTAGATCTAGAACTGGAAGAGCTCTCAGAGGCCAACTAAGAGTATTTTATAGATGAGGAAACAGACTCTAGGAAGTGAAATGACTCACCCAACATCACTCAGACAGTATATGGCAGAGACAAGATTTGAACATGTCATCATCATCATCAACAACAACAGTGGGATCAAATGAGATCCTCTCTATAAATAAATGCCAGTTATTCTTATTCCCCATTCACATCTATTTGGAGCAAAGTCAACACAATGAATTTGAAGGGTTATGGTACAGTAGAAAAAAAAACAGCAATGCTGTTGCCATTTTCAATAATCCGACGTTCTCATTTCCCAATACTACATCAGAAAATTGAGCATTGTGGAGATGGGATTTGAGCAACACTTCTACTTTAAAAATTTATCCGGTAATCCTCAAAGCTCTATCACATACCCTTTATAATGCACTTAGTCTCTACGAAGAGAGAGCACCAGGACTTGTATTAATAATCTTCCAAAGAGTTGAGGTCAATTCAGCATTTCACTATGCCAGGTCTGCCCCCTCTTCCGCTCCCCCCACCCCAGCACAGATCCTGGCATTGGAGAGAAAACAAAGCAACTCTTCCTTGTTTTCAGAAGCCCAGCATCACAATAATACAATATTTAAAATGCTTACTGTGATTTTCCAAGTACATTTGCTATTTGGAGGGTAGACTCCAGGGAATCCTTCACTGCCAATAAGTCCAGATTCTCCAGATAGAATGCCACCGCATGTGAAAACGGGTCTGGGAAGATTAAAACAACAACAAAAAATAATTAAGTTTCACTTGGAAATACAACCTATCAACATTGTCTATATTCAATAACTAATCCCAGCCTTGAAAATGTTCATAATGCAAATGAATGAATAAACACAAGGAAATTCACACAATGCATACACGTATTTTAAAAGACACTACCTCTTGGGCATTCATTTCAATTCAGCCAGTTCTAATCATGATAAAGCAAAGCTAGAAAAAGCAACTGAATAATTCAGCTTTCCAAACAAGTAGTAAAAATCAAGTCCAATGTTCAATTAATTTCCACAGACATTTAAAAAAAATCCCAGTCACTACCGTTCGTATTGAAGAAAAGAAGGGGCTAACGAGTAGTTTGTTTTTAGAGTAGCAAAGCACATTTGCCCCCTCTCTCCTTTTTAAGAGGCTTTCCTATCAGCAAGATTTTCCTAGAGGAAAGAAGGATAGTGGTGGAGGTGGAGGTGGGTTACAGGTAAAATTTGACAAAACCCTGACTCTCAACCCTAGCATAATGGAGCAAGTACAATTTGAGATCATGGAATAAATGAATTCACCTCCCAGTATGATGCCCAGAATTTCTCTCGTCCAGCTTATGTTGCTTCCCCGGGCTTAAACCACTCACTGGGCAAAGATTCCCAGAAGAGAAGGAAATTAAAGAGAGAGAGGTGGCCACATGGATCAGGGAATCCCTGTTGATCCCCGCACCCCCACTTAGAAGAGAGAGGACAGCGGGAGTGGTGAGGGGATTTGGTTTAATGATAATCACCAGCTGCTGGCAACAGGAGAAATGAGACAGGAGAGAAGCGTGTCTTACTCCAGCATGGAGGTGGCCCAAGGGTGGGAAGGAGTGAGAGGGTCTACCGGGTGAGAGAGAGCTCTGGACTCAGGGAAGCTGAAGGGGGATGGGAAGAGGAGGGGGCCGAATGCAGAGGAGCTTAGTCAGAAACCGCAGTGGCTCTCAGAGCCGGAGCCGAGGCACAAGGGAGTTTGCCAGATTGCCAGTGTTGGGGACGCTGGCAGAGAAAGAAAGCCCAATTAGGCACACAGTTGTGAGAGGCTCTGGAGAAAGCGGTGGTGGACCAGAAGGAGGTGGGCAGAGATGCCGCGGGCTGAGAGCTGAGCTGTCGGGCAGGACACCGACCCGGCTCGTGGGGCTCTAGGGAAGCTAAGAGGGGCTCCCGGCGCAGTGAGTTAGAAGAGTGAGGAAGGCGAACGCGCGAGGGTCGGGGGCTGTGGGGCAGTGGCTGTGCGCCTCGGAACCCAGGCACGCAGCAGCAGCAACAGCGGAGGCAGTAGCAATGGTAGCAGCAGCAGCAGAGGCAGAGAGCGGCAGCTGCTCTTCGGAGCCCCATCCTCCCGTTGCTCCCCACGCGCCTCCTCTGCCCCGGGCTCTTTACCTCTCCTGTGGTTGCTGCCCCGAGACCTGAGCCGCGGCTGCCAGCAACAGCCAGAGCCAGGAGCGGATGCCGGAGGCGCCTCTCATGGCTGATGGAGACGCAAGGCGGACACACACACACACACACACACACACACACACACACTCACTTACACACGCACTCACGCGCGCAAGCACACGCTTACTCTCACTCACACCCGGGAGGCCACTAAATGCACATAGAGCAGACGGTTTTCGGGCCCGCGGGGAGGGCTTTTGAAGGGAGAGTTGTAGTGTAGTCTGACTCTACACCGAATTTCCCTCGAGGAGTCTCTCTGGCAGCAAGAAACTACTGATGAATATACCATTTGTTCTCAGGCAGCAGGAGGAGGAGGAGGCTGCCTTCCCGACCAGATCCTCCTCCTCTTCCTCCTCCTCCTCTTCTTCCCCTCCTCCTCCTTTCCCCATCTCCGTGACTCAAAACTCTTCTCAAACTCTGAGTTTCAAACTTCCCAATAGGGTGTGGAAAAGAAAATCCCACTGAAGGAGGCCAGAAGATGGACTTGGCAGCACGCTACATAACAGCTTGTTTATATGTGGGAATTTAATAAGGTGAGGTTTTTAGTTGGGGAAAAAGGTGGGGAGGTGTATTTTTATGCCATTTTATTAAAGGAAGGTATTTGGACCTCCTGACTTTGCCCAACTGAAGGCTCAGTTTTCCATCGCTATCTCCTCATATTCACCTACTCAAAGAAAAAAAAAATCCAAGCTCCAGTTTTACTTGAAGCCTGCTCAGTTTGTTACTTTAAGCCAACGTTTCATTTCAATAGTTTCATTTTTTTTAAAAAGGGTGTGAGGGTGACTAAGGAGGCGACAGATGATTACTGGGTGGGGATTTGTAATTGCATTTTCAGGCCATTAGTTTCTCAGTGAATTGCTCTCTGAAGAAGCAGGCCTTTCGAGATAATAGCGACAAAATCAGAATCATCAAACCTTGGGATCAGGGTTGTTGTGAGGCTCAAATGAGATAATGGATATAAAGCATTTTTCGAAACTGAAAGTGCTTTGAAAATGCCAGTTATTATTATTGTCATGATTAATGATTAGCCTACAGGCATCTGGTCTCCAGTCTGGTGATGACTTCATCCCTTGAACTTTCTTCTCCACTTCTGCTGAGATCAAGCAATTTTTACAACGCAATACTAGAGCGCGCTGGTAAATGTTTAACAACCAAACTGGGGAGAGGGAAAATTTAATCTGCATTATTAACACTTTCTTAAGTCTAGACAATCAACAAAACAGTCAATTAAGTCTTGATTTGTAAAGACTGAAGGAAGGATTAAATGGTCACACTGAAAATTTAACAATCGTGTTCTCCCAAGGTGGTTATAACTGCCTGTAGCAACCCCTGGCTTGGGATGGTCCTGAATAGCATAGAACGTTGCTTAAAAAAAAAAAAAGGTCCTTTGCCTGAGAGGTCACATTATTACTTTAAAATTGAGCCCTCTTCTGTTAAAAGGGTCGTTCACTGGATGAAAGGCTGGTGAAAACGTGTACAGACATTCCTGGCTTTGCCCCAAGTGCTTCTGTGAAGAACAATCTGCCAGACTGGTGATTACAACTTGCTTTTTTTTCTTCACTGTCTTTTTTTTTTTAATGGATTCACATTCAAATGGATTATTGAAAAGTCTTACCAATGTTTATGATTAATGACATTCTGATTTGGTGCAATAAACACTTGTCTTTTTTTCCCCAACATCTGGAGAAGTAGCATTCTTTACATTACTCACATTTCAAAGTTATTTCTTAAGTGTTATGAGTCACACTTGATTAAAAATTGATTTCCAATTCCGAAGCTTCAAGTGTTAAGGTCATAAATGAGACTCCTGGAGAGGAAGGAAGTAGATAATTAGCTCTAGAGACTAAAAATTCTGAGTTATGATGGCATGGACACGGAGGGACTTATATGAGTCCCAGATTTTCCCAATGGGGTTTAGTTTGTATTACCTTTTTAAAAAAATAAAAAGGAAGGAACAAGTAAATAACAAAAGCAAAACTATTCAGTTCTCTGAAAGAACCACACCCTGCATGACATTTTAAAAAAATGCACTAGGAACTTTGTCAAATCACATTGCATTCTGAAGCTTACACCCTTAACCAACTCAAAAAACTTGTCTTTAAATGAGGAAAATTTCTGGTTGTTTATCTTGTACACATTTCAAGTGAGATTGTATAATTTAAGATAACAACAGTGAAATTTAGGGCTCAAAGTCATAAACAGAAAAAACATTGCTCCATTTAGTTTTCCAGTTAAAAAATGCTAATTTATATCAGTAAGAATGAATGTTTCAGGATAAGTTTGGATCCAAGATAAAAATTGTTTTCAAGTATTGAAAACAATGTAGTTAGAATAAATATTGCCCAACGGTAAACATTTCCACATATACTAATTTACAAAATTATGTTCTTAGTCATGATTCTTTTTTCAAATGTGCCTGGTCATCCAATGTTTTCAACACTGGTCATTTTGTTACTATTAAGGGACATAAGAAAACCCCCAAATGTATTACATGTTTTTAAGAGCAGTTCACTAAAACCCATATTAGCTATTAGTTACACATGTTTTACTTGGAATCTCAACTCTGACCAAAATTATAAACCCTAAATATCTTGAAAAACTCTGTCTTTAAAATGATTCAGTTCAAACTGGAATTTGAAGAAATCAAATAATATATAAAATATATTTGAAAGGGGAATTAGTTATGTATGAAGAAGAATCTCCGAGGAAGCTCTGAGGGAACCAGTTTGACTCTACTCTTAAATTTCTTGTTTCCTCGTCCTTTAAAGATCTCACCTGGCCAACCTGGAACCCTGTATTAATCCTGCCACCATCCCACCTCTCACCTACTCAAGTGATATTGAACAGAATTGGAAGACAGAATGAAATCATGATAAACACTTTTATTATATTTATGCTAACTAATCTCAACTGGGTCCTCACTACAGCAAAGAAGTCCTACTATTCCTCCATAATTCCATTTCCCACTCAACTCAGCACCTGTTCCAAACCTTGTCTTTTCTCCTCTAGTCTCCCATCCCATTTCTTCCTTCCCCTTCACTCCCCTCTCTTCCTCATCTCATATCTCTCTGAAACCATCTCCTCCTATCTCTACCTTCACTCCAATCAGATAATGAGGTGGCCCTTATACTAGACAAGGCCAAACTTCTTTCTCTATATTTCCCCTTGTCTTCTCTTGCAGATTGCCCCCACCATCATCCCCACCACTTCTCTAATCTTTGATCTTGTCCTATCTAATGGCTCCTTCCATGATGCTTACAAACACATCTAAGTCTTGGAGACCTAGGTGGCACTCATCTTCCTGAGTTCAAATCTGTCCTCAGACACTTCAAGGTCAGCTACTGCACTGACAGCAAATTAGTCAACTTGAAAATGCTGCAAGTCAGGACTAAAGTGAAGGGAGATTTGGTATGTGACTTAAAATTTTTTTTTTATTTAAAATTTTTTCTTTATTTTTGTTTTATTTTTTTTAAATTTTTCTTATTATTTTTCTTTTTTCTTTTTTTGGTATGTGACTTTTGTTCACAGATGATTGTACACTCAATGCAGCCTTTGAGGATGAGATGCAACAAAGTATGGATTTATTCTCTACTGCTCATGTTAATGTTGGCCTAACAATTAACACCAAGAAAATACAGGTTCACCACTAGCCAGTACCGCATCATCCATATATGGAACCATCGATTACAGCAAATGGAGAAGTTTTGAATGTTTTGGATAAGTTCACTTGCCTTGGCAGTATACTTTCCAGAGATTGACACATAGATGATGAAGTTGATACACACACTTCCAAAACTAGCTCAGCCCTTGGAAGACTCCAAAGGAAAGTATGGGAGAGAAGGGATATTAGACTGCTTACTAAACTGAAGTTCTATACAGCCATTGTGCTGACCTCATTGTTGTATGCCTGTAATACCTGGACAGTCTACCAGTGCCATGCCAGGAAACTGAATCTCTTCCATTTGAATGTCTAGGAAGATTCTGAAGATCACCTGGCAAGACATAATACTAGACACAGGTCTTTTCTTATCTCAGATGCCAAAAGTACGTTTGCCTAAAAGACTATTTTATGGAGAACTCACAAAAGGCAAGTGCTCACATAGAGGTCAGAAGAAGTGATACAAGGACACTCTCGAGGTCTCTCTGAAGAACTTTAGTACTGTGAGAAAAGGGAGACACTGGCAGAAGACTGCCCAGCCTGGTGTGCCTGAATCAAAGAAAGTTGTATGCCCTGTGAGCAAGGCAGAATTGTGGTAGCTCAAAAGAAAAGTGAGATATGTAAATTCAGAGACACCTCCATTCCAAATGTTCATATGGAGTATTTGTGCCCCACCTGGTAAATGGATCAAGGAAAGATAATTTAAGAATTTTAGGACTATCAAAAAAGACTATCCAAAAAAAAAAAAGAGCCTAGACATCCCATTTCAAGGAATTATAAAGGAAAACTTCCCTAATGTCTTAGAACCAGAGGGCAAAATACAAATTGAAAGAATCCACTGATCACCTCCTAAAAGAGATCCTGAAATGAAAAGTCCCTGGAACATTATAGCCAAGTTCCAGAGCTCCCAAGTCAAGGAGAGAATACGGCAAGCAGTCAGAAAGAGACCATTCAAATACCATGGAGCTACAGTAAGGAATCACACAAGACTTAGAAGCTACTATATTAAAGGAGTGGAGGTACTGGAATATGATTTCCTGGAAAGCAAAGGAGCTAGGATTATAACCAAGAATAACCTACCCAGCAAAACTGAGTATAAGCCTTTGTGGGGGGGTGGGAGGGGAATGGATATTTAATGAAATAGAGGAATTTCAAGCATTCCTGATGAAAAGACCAGAGCTGAATAGAAAATCTGATGTTCAAACATGAGATTCAAGGGAAGAATTAAAAAGGTAAACATGAAAGAGAAATCAAAGTTAAACTCTTTATATTCCTACATGAGAAAATGACACATCTAAATCTTAAGGAATGTATCACGATTCAGGTAGGTAAAAGAATCTGCATAGACAGAGGGCATGGGTGTGAGTTGATTATGTTGGGATGACCTTCAAAAAATAAAAGGGTATGAAAGAAGGATGCACTTGGAGAAGGGGGAAGGGAGAGGAAGAATGGGGGAAATTATATCACATAAAACAGGCATGCAAGGAAGAACTTTTAATAGTGGAGGGGGAAATGTGGATGGGTGGGTAATGCTTGAACTTCAATCCCATCTGAATTGGTTCAAAGAGGGAAGATTACACACACACACACACACACACATCTACACATACAAACTTGGTTGGGTACATAAATCTATCTTACCCATAGAAAATTTACATATCCCAAATCTTCATTTTAATTACTTAGAGAAGTAGGAGGTGAAGGGGATAAGAGAAAGAGAGGGAAATGATAGGAGAGGATTAAGGGAGACAGTGGTCAGAAGCAAAACAGACTTTTGAGGAAGAACAGGGAGAAGAATAAAGAGGATAGAGGGAAATACAGAGTTAATAATCATAACTGTGAATGTGAATGGGATAAACTCACCCACAAAATCGAATCAGATAGCAGAATCAATTAGAAACCAGAATCCAACAATATGTTGTATACAAGAACACATTTGAAACAGAAGAACATATATGGAGTTAAAATAAAGGACTGGAGCAGAACCTATTGTACTTCATTTAGCTGAAGTAAAAAAGGCAGAGGTAGCGATTATGATTTCCGACAAAACAAAAGCAAAAATAGATCTAATTAAAAGAGATAATTATATAAACTCCATCTTGCTAATAGGTACTACAGACAATGAAGTAATATCAATACTAAACAGGTGGTGAAGTGGATAGAGTGCCAAACCTGAAGTCAGGAAGACTCATCTTCCTGAGTTCAAATCTGGCATCAGATACCTACTAGCTGTGCTACCCTGGGCAAGTCACTTAAACCCATTTGTCCCAGTTTCCTCATCTGTAAAATGAGCTGGAGAAGGAAACTTCAAATCACTTCAGTGTCTTTGCCAAGAAAACCCTGAATGGGGTCACAAAGAGTTGGATATAATTGAAATGACTCAACAACAATAACAACAAACATTCATATACCAAATGGCATAGCACCTGAATTCTTAAAGGAAAAGTTAAATGAGTTACAGGAGGAAACAGACAGCAAAATATAATGGGAGATTCAAATTTCCCCTCTCAGAATGGGATAAATTTAACTATAAAATAAGTAAGAAATAAATTAAGGAGATTAATAAAATTTTAGGAAAGTTAGATATGAGAGACCTCTGGAGAAAATTGAATGGGAATAGAAAGGTGATTTCCTTTTTCTCTGCTTTTTCACACAAAAAAACCCCTATATATTAGAACACAAACACCTCACAAACAAATGAAGAAAAGCAGAAATATTAAATACATTCTTTTGGGAACATAATGCAATAAAATTGTATTCAATAAAGGGTCTTTGAAACATAGATTAAACATTAATTGCAAACTAAATAATCTTATCATAAAGAATGAATAGTTAAAAGAACAAATTATAGAAACAATAAAAAATTCACTAAAGGTAACGACAACAATGACACAATATACCAAAATTTGTAGGATATAGCCAAAGCAGTACTTAGGGGGAAATTTATTTCTCTTAACACATCATAAAAGAGAGAAAGAGCAGATCAATAAATTGGGTATAAAACTA